TTTACAGGAAAAGACACCTGCTAAAACCTCCCCATACTCAGAAGACGCCCCTTCCTTTAAAGCCAAGTAAAAGTGTTGTCACTGTCCACAAAGAGCGTAGGCTGCTACAAACACCTCAGGCCCAAAAGCAAGGCCTTTGGATAACACCTGAAGGCTGGACCCAAGGTGGAGCTGCTGGGGGGGCTGCCCCACTGATGGAAATCAAAGAGAACCTGAGACATTAAGTGCCTCTCAGAGCTCTGCTGCACATTGCTCACACGCACCAGCCTTGCCCCTGCTGGCCAGCACAGCTCCCTTTAGGCCAGCTTCTTCTTACTCAGCTTGGCTACCTCCTGCTTACAAACCCTACTGCCAGGAACCAACTGGGACGGATTCAAAACAGAAGCCCAGGGGACGGCGCTACTTTTGCACAGTCACGCTCCCGACTCTTGGAGGAGGCGCATCCAGAAATGCCCCAGGCACTGAAACTCAGCCGTGCACAGCTGGAGGCATTCACACAGGTGCTCTCCTGGTCTCTGCTCCAGGAGGGGAAGAGGGATTAAAAAAAAAAAAAAGACAGAGAAAAAGCAGCAATGAACTGAAGATTCACAACCAGGAAAAAACAACATCCTGCTATGAAATCAATGAAACTGCACAGTTTTAAGACAATTTGATCTTGCCTCAAATCATGGAAGTAGACCTACTCTTCAGTGATAGTTTCCCAAACCATGCAAAACGTTTCCTTTCAAGAACTCTCCCTAGTCTTTCCTCCACTCGACTCTTGAGCTGAAAAAAGCTCGTTTGAATCCCCTTGGCTGAGCAGCCGCTCTTGCAATTGCTGCTACAACCGCTGGATTCCCCTCCCCAGAATCACAACGCGTGGCTTTGGGCTTTTCACTGTTTATTAGTCATTTAGTTCTTCCTTCACGCTTCCACGCTGGGCATCACGCTCGCACAGCTGCCTGGCACGGCCCCGCAGCCCTGCCCAAACACTTGGGCACCTTTTCCACCACCCGGCCTGGGCCTGGGCTCCGCATCACTTGCTGCCACCCCCCGGGCATGCAGTGCCCATGGCACAGCAGGCAGGGGGTGCCCCATGTCACAAAGGGCTGGGGGCGGCCCCAGAACGCTGGCCCCAACGGCCACACAGCCCTGCCGTGGCTGCCCGTGCTGACGGGGAGGCTGCTCAGCTGCCTGCTCCTCCTTCAGCCTCAGCTCTGGACACAAACTCCACCACAGGAACTCAGCTCCTCTCTCCTCTCTCTGCAGGCCCTCCCCTCAAATGGCTCGCAGCGCCCTACAGCACGCTGACCCAACTAAACCATGGCCCGCTCCTGCCCGCTCCTTGCCAGCACGGACACAGACAATTCTCCACGCCCTCCAGGACAGGTAAGATCGCCCCAACCCACTCCCAGCATAGTCCACTGTAAGCAGGACAGTGACACGCTCGGGCCACGACAGCAGCGACCGCTCCATCAGGACGACGCGACACGGCCAGCCTCGGTGAGTCGCTGGAGACCCTCGGGCACAGAGGCAGGGGCTGCCCGTCTTCATAAGGGGATGCCGCTCCCTTTGGTGCTTCTCCTCTTTCAGCCACAAACACAGCGATGGGACCAAGCCATGGCACACTCCTGGCCTCACTGCCCTCAACCACTCAGCTGGAAGGAAGAGCTGCCAACGCTCT